TGCCATACATTATTTTATAAATTCCTATCAGGTCCCTTCTTAACTCGCCTTTTCTCGAAACCAAAAAAGCCCCAAATGCTGCAACCGTTCCTCATCAGGGACTCGCCACAGCCCTTTGGTTGTTTTTGCTGCCCACCCCCAAAAAGGGAATATAGAGAGGGTTCAACCTCCAAGGTTTGAGAAATATAGAGGAGGAGTATTTTTACTTTTTAAAATCCATTTATTAAATTTCTATACCGCCCTTCATCCAAAAAATCACAGGGCTGCTTACAGGAAATGCATACCATAATAATAACAAAAACCATACCCCCCTCAAAAAAGTTGAAAAGGCCATAGATTGTTTAATTAGCTGAAGGCCTGGGAAAAGAGGGATGTTTTAAGCCTGGTGCCTAAAGATATAGAATCATAGAATTGGAGAGTTGGAAGAGACTGTAAAGATAATCTAATCCAAGACCCTGAAATGCAGGGATATGCAACTGTCCCATATGGGGGTTGAACCTGCAGCCTTGGTGCCATCAGTGCTGGGGAGAGCATCCCACAAACAGGGAGCCACTGCAGGAAAGGCCCTGTTCTCATGCTGCCACCCCTCCGGACCTCTGGCAGAGGCGGCAGACGAAGAAGGGCATGGATGATGATCTCAGGGTCCGGGGCACTTCACATACAGAGAGGGGGTCCTTGAGTTTTTGCAGTCCATTTAAGGCTTTGTAAGTCAAAACCAGCACTTTGGGACACGGGTGGCGCTGTGGGTTAAACCACAGAGCCTAGGACTTGCCAATCAGAAGGTGGGAGGTTCAAATCCCCACGACGGGGGTGAGCTCCCGTTGCTCAGTCCCTGCTCCAGCGGGAAGGTAAATGGAGTTTCTGTGCGCTGCTCTGGTTCGCCAGAAGTGGCTTAGTCATGCTGGCCACATGACCCGGAAGCTGTACACCGGCTCCCTCAGCCAATAAAGCGAGATGAGCACCGCAACCCCAGAGTTGGTCACAACTGGACCTAATGGTCAGGGGTACCTTTACCTTTAAGTCAAAACCAGCACTTTGATTTGGACCAGAGACTAACCGGCATCTGGGCCAGGATTGGCATGATACGATCAAACCATCTTGCCCCAAATTCTGCATCGCCTGCTGTTTCCAAACCATCTTCAGAGGCAGCCCTACATATAATGAATTGCAGTAGCCTAATTTATATAGACCTTTCCCTCAAAGGGGCGTCGTTCCATCATTTTGGTTGTCCTTTTCTAATCTAATTCATCTAATCCAAGCCCGCCCAAGAGCCCATCTTAAACGTTCAGAGGAATCACGCGACTCCACTCGGTTGCAGCCCTGTTTTTAATTGCAGCTGAAGAACCTGCCAAGGGTTCCCGTTGCTCACCTTGTCCTCTTGTCCCCCCCCCCTCGCCCGCCCCATCTGACTTATTTATATAGCACTAACAGAGGGATGGAAGTGTGGGGAGAGAAGATGACATCACTGCGACTTGATTTAATTTGATCAAGCAGTTAAACAAGGTGACACTTGAGTTTAATTCAGTGTCCTTGGATGCAAAAGAAACAGAGAGAGAGAGAGAGAGAGAGAGAGAGAGAGAGAGAGAGGGCAGAACAAGAGGAACTGTCCCAAACTCTCCCACCACGACAGCATGAAATATGGGAGAAGGAACCGCCAACCAGAGATGGAAGATTTTGGGGAGAGCCTCCCCAAAACAGTAAGTGTCTGTCTGTCTGTGGGGTTTTCTATTCCCAACTCAACTACAGTGGTAAAGGTAAAGGTAAAGGGACCCCTGACCATTAGGTCCAGTCGCGGCCAACTCTGGGGTTGCGGCGCTCATCTCGCTTTATTGGCCGAGGGAGCCGGCGTACAGCTTCCGGGTCATGTGGCCAGCAGGACTAAGCCGCTTCTGGCCAACCAGAGCAGCGCACGGAAACGCCGTTTACCTTCCCGCCAGAGCGGTACCTATTTATCTACTTGCACTTGTGACGTGCTTTCAAACTGCTAGGTTGGCAGGAGCAGGGACCGAGCAATGGCAGCTCACCTCATCACAGGGATTTAAACTGCCAACCTTCTGATCGGCAAGTCCTAGGCTCTGTGGTTTAACCCACAGCGCCACCCACGTCCCAACTACAGTGGTACCTCGGGTTAAAGATGCTTCAGGTTACAGACACTTCAGGTTACAGACTCTGCTAACCCAGATATAGTACCTCGGGTTAAGAACTTTGCTTCAGGATGAGAACAGAAATGGTGCAGCGGCGGTGCAGCAGGAGGCCTCATTAGCTAAAGTGGTACCTCAGGTTAAGAACACTTTCAGGTTAAGAACGGACCTTCTGAACGAATTAAGTTCTTAACCCGAGGTACCACTGTAGAACCAAACATCACCAGACAGAGAAGTTCACAGAAAGGTACTTTGGGGCAGAACCAGCCTGAAAGGGCTCAAGCAAGCGATTCAAGCCACATACTTAAAAGAGACAGTCAGGTGTATATAACCAAGGTAGCATGGGGACAGTTCTCCCTGTTTTGCTTTTTCAAATATGGCATCCCTGCAGATACGCCAAGGACAACGCTCACCAGGTTGGCAAATCTCATGTCTTCAGATGACTCACGTACGTGAATTCCTCCCGGACCCAGGTCGAGATGTCCCCTCCACGGAGACAACAGTCAGGGGTCAACCCACACAAAGGAACAAAGCAAGCGTCCTTATACCAGGGTCAGACAGTTAATACTTTGGCCGCAATCTATTTACCCAAGAGCAAACCCTACTGAGCTCACAGGGAGTTACTTCTGAGCAGACTTGGAAAGGATGTGTGCTGTTAAGGTAAAGGTAAAGGTACCCCTGCCCGTACGGGCCAGTCTTGACAGACTCTAGGGTTGTGCGCCCATCTCACTTAAGAGGCCGGGGGCCAGCGCTGTCCGGAGACACTTCCGGGTCACGTGGCCAGCGTGACATCGCTGCTCTGGCGAGCCAGAGCCGCACACGGAAACGCCGTTTACCTTCCCGCTGGTAAGCGGTCCCTATTTATCTACTTGCACCCGGGGGTGCTTTCGAACTGCTAGGTTGGCAGGCGCTGGGACCGAACGACGGGAGCGCACCCCGCTGCGGGGATTCAAACCGCCGACCTTTCGATCGGCAAGCCCTAGGCGCTGAGGCTTTTACCCACAGCGCCACTTGCGTCCCAATATGTGCTGTTAAGCCCACTTAAAAATGATGAATAAATCTGGAGATACCTGGCATGGAATCTAGGCCCTTCTGGAAGCAAAGCAGGAACCCTAACACTGAGCAAGCCTCTTCCAGGTGGGGCTGTTCCTCCACTGACAAGACTGTAAAAGGTAAAGGGTAAAGGGACCCCTGACCATTAGGTCCAGTCGTGGCCGACCCTGGGGTTGCGGACGCTCATCTCGCTTTACTGGCCGAGGGAGCCGGCGTACAGCTTCTGGGTCATGTGGCCAGCAGGACTAAGCCGCTTCTGGCGAACCAGAGCAGCGCACGGAAACGCCGTTTACCTTCCCGCCAGAGCGGTACCTATTTATCTACTTGCACTTTGACGTGCTTTCGAACTGCTAGGTTGGCAGGAGCAGGGACCTCAGCCCCGTCGTGGGGATTCGAACCGCCAACCTTCTGATTGGCAAGTCCTAGGCTCTGTGGTTTAACCCACAGCACCACCCGCGTCCCATGACTGAGCCAGCGGTAAATCACACTGTGCAAGTTGGAGTTAATGCTTTATTGGCAAAAAGACAGGATCTGCACAGGGGTGTCAGGCCTAATGAGCACAGCGACCCACCTCTGGCAGCTCTTGCCCCCATGAAGCAGCTGCTGAGACTGAAAGTCCCTACCTCCCCACAGCTGCCTAAGTCCCCTCCTCTGCAGGGTTCCCCTCATGCAATCTGAGACTGTGCCTTCATGGAACTAACTTCTCCATTGCCCTCTTCATGCCTCTCCTTGTGCTGGGAGACCAGAGGGAAGTGGAGCTTGTTGCAGCAGGACCCATGCCTCTTCACCAGCCGGACTCATCTCTGCCTCTTGGTGTCCCTCCTCTCCTCTTTCAGCTTCTGCCTCTGAGTCTGGACTGCTCTCTGCCACAGACTCCCCCCGCTCACTAAGCCCTGTTGCCTCTTCAGCTTCTCACATCTCCTCCACTCAGTCTTCTCCCTCTGACTACTCACTGTAATCCCACCACCACCAGCTCTCCAGGGTCTCAAGCACTAAAAGGGTCTTGTCTTTCTCAGCTTGGGAGCAGCTGCAGAAAAGGCTCTGTCTCTTATGTCACCACCAACCATTGCCTCTGAAGTAGATGGGCACCCGTTTGTAGAGAGAGACACAATCTTTCAGGGCTGTCATGTTGGACTGGCCATGTTGTTCGGATGCCTGACTATCGTCTTCCAAAGCAACTACTACTCTATTCCGAACTTCAAAATGGAAAACGTAATGCTGGTGGTCAACAAAAGAGGTGTAAAGACTCTCTCAAGGCAAATCTTTAAAAATGTAGTATAAACCCAGATAACTGGGAAACACTGGCCTGCAAGCGATCCAGTTGGAGAACAGCCTTTACCAAAGGTGTCATGGGCTTTGAAGACACTCAAACTCAGAACGCAAGGGAGAAACGTGCTAAGATTGGCAAATCCACACCGTGATCAACTCCCACCTGGAAACCAATGTCCCCACTGTGGAAGAATGTGTGGATCCAGAATTGGCCTCCACAGTCACTTATGGACTCATTGTTAAGACTGTGTTTACTTGGCTACAAGGGATCGCCAAAGAAGGACTGCCCTATCAGCTCATCTATATGGAGCTCTTAGGTTTTAGGGACTCCTCTCCCCCACTCCAACAAATCCTTAGAGTAAAAAAACATGCAATAACAAAGAGCGCCTTGAGAGCATGCAGAGAGCTTCCCACTCATTCGCACCCAGACCTGAGGATATGTTTTAAACGAAGAATGTGCAATTTCAGAAAATGAGCACATGATACCAGAATAGATTGTGGGGTTTTTGGGGTGTGGGGTGTGTGTGCTTCACTTACTTTCAGCGGTGCAGCCCACCAGTAGCAAGTAGACAAGGTTGGCAAGGGGGAGCAGCAGTGTTAATCCCGAGGCAAGATTCATGCTGGTGGCGGGTGGAGGTCTCTGACCCCGGCCTGGCGGCCCCCCCAGTTTAGCAGAACTCACAGCGCCTCTGGAACGGCGTCAAGACCTGCGGAGGGAAAGAGACGCAAGTTTAGACTGCGAAGGGTTTTCCAAGGTGGCCGCTGCAGAACTGTGCATGCAGCCAAGCACTCTGTTCTCCAAGAGTAAACTTTTTCAGCAGGGGGCCGGTCCACTGTCCCTCAGACCTTGTGGGGGGGCCGGACTACTTCGTATTTTTTTGCTCTATAAGACTCACTTTTTCCCTCCTAAAAAGTAAGGGGAAATGTGTGTGCCTCTTATGGAGCGAATGCAGGCTGCGCAGCTATCCCAGAAGCCAGAACAGCAAGAGGGGTTGCTGCTTTAATTGCGCAGCGATCCCTCTTGCTGTTCTGGCTTCTGAGATTCAGAATATTTGTTTTCTTGTTTTCCTCCTCCAAAAACTAGGTGCGTCTTGTGGTCTGGTGCGTCTTATAGAGCGAAAAATACGGGTAAATGAACAAATTCCTATGCCCCACAAATAACCCAGAAATGCATTTTAAATAAAAGCACGCATTCTGCTCATGCAAAAACACCAGGCAGGCCCCACAAATAACCCAGAGATGCATTTTTAATAAAAGCACACATTCTACTCATGTAAAAATTCGCTGATTCCTGGACCGTCTGTGGGCCAGACTTAGAAGGCGATTGGGCCACATCCGGCCCCCGGTACTTAGTGTGCCTAGCCATGCCCAAGAACAACAGAAGATCCCCTCCGCCACGCGAAATAATCTCACAAACAAGGCATGAAATGTAGTAGCTTCAGAAGTGGAAACAAGAGGAATTGACGACAAAGGAAGAATGGCAACTGAAGCTGATGGAGTCTGCAGAACTGGCCAAAATGACGGGAATAAACCGAGAACCAAAAGTTCATATTGGACTGGACCAAATTTGTACATTATTTGAAAGAAAATTGTATTCAATCAAATACACGTTGGTAGGATTGCAAGAAGCTTTGTAGGGAACGGTAAAAAAACCACTGCAGATAAGAATAAGAACGTATGATGTTTCATCATTTTTGATTTTAAAGCAATGGTGAAATAGTGAAAATGCAGAAATTTGAAATGAAAGACAGAAAATCGTAAGGAAGGTTTGAAGGAAGTCAGGGCGCTGAAAAGCCAAAATGTATAATATGTGATATTGCAATGGAAAGTGTTGTTGTAAAACTAATAAAAATGATATGGAAAAAAGGAAAAAGAGAAAGGTGGTAGCCTCTCTCTTCTCTTTCCCCATGATCTACAGCCAAGAATGCACACAGCCTGCAGCCACCGGTCACTTCCAGGCTGGACTACTGCAACGCTCCGAGCATAGGGCTGCCCTTGGACCCAGGCTGCTAACAAAATTGACAAGCGCTGTAACCTTTCCCCACAAGAGAGTTGCCCCTCTAGGGCAGCCAGGATAGCCCTGGAATACGTGGCTTTCCATGATGACCCAACATAACCCTGGGAAATTCACATTTCCCAAAGCCCCTTCCAGAGACACTCAAAACGGCCGATTACATTTCCTGTCTTAAGGTAAAGGCACCCCTGACCATTAGGTTCAGTCCTGGCCGACTCTGGGGTTGTGGCGCTCATCTCGCTTTATTGGCCAAGGGAGCCGGTGTACAGCTTCCGGGTCATGTGGCCAGCAGGACTAAGCCGCTTCTGGCGAACCAGAGCAGCGCACGGAAACACAGTTTACCTTCCCGCCGGAGTGGTACCTATTTATCTACTTGCACTTTGATGTGCTTTCGAACTGCTCGGTTGGCAGAAGCAACAGGAGCTCACCCCGTCGCGGGGATTCGAACCGCTGACCTTCTGAACGGCAAGTCCTAGGCTCCCACAGCACCACACAAATTTTAAAAAAACCCTCCGTACCTAATTTTGGGCTTTTCAGAGCACATTAGGAGCAACCTAATGAGACAGCGAGCGAGAGAGAAAAGAGCCTTCAGGGTTCCTATTGGGCACAATTTTGGCACTTTCCTTCAGCGCAGCTGGAGAAGTCGCTTGCAGGCCGCTAAGTCGCTCAGCATGCGATTTTAATAGGGCACTGGGTCAGAACGGGAAAAATATATATATACACTTTGGAAGATTGGAAGGCATTCAAAAAACAATTAAATTTCCAAGTGGGAAAGATGCGCAGCCACTGCTGGCAGCCTGCATTGTTCTTTACATTGCCTCCTCACTGCATACTTGAGTTTATGAAGAGGGAAGGTCCCTGCCTGGAGGAGCTTACAATCTGAAATCATAAGGGAGGAAGCAGTGGTAGGGAGGGCGGGAATAAAGAGGAGAAGAATAGAATTGCGGAATAGTAGATTTGGAAGAAAGCCCAGGGGCATCTAGTCCAACCCCTGTGGTGCGGGAATCTCAGCCAAATAACCCCCGGCAGATGGCCTTCTAACTTCTCTTTAAGAACCGCCATGCAGAGATTGTTTCGGTTCCGTGGTCTTACCTCAATGCAGCCCCTAGAGCAGGCATAGGCAAACGCTGGCCCTCCAGATGTTTGGGACTACAATTCCCACCATCCCTGACCACTGGTCCTGTTAGCTAGGGGTGATGGGAATTGTAGTCCCAAACATCTGGAGGGCGGGAGCTTGCCTAGGCCTGCCCTGGAGCAATTTAACACAAGTTGTCCACCTCAGCTGCAGGCAAGCTGATCGACTCACACCCTGCAGGTGAAGGGAAAGAGACCCAGCGCAAAATTGCGTCTCTGGTACTGGCCAATATACCCCAGTCGGTGGTTCTTCACTGCTTCCAGCAGCTACAGCAGGTGTGGGGAAGCCCTTTTCAGCTCAAGGGATCTCTCTAACTTCCCAAGGGACAAGGGCCAGGTAAGCGGTGGGCGGGGCTAGCAGGTAAAAGTGGGAAGGGCACTGAATGGTCATGGGCACATCACAGCCAGGAAAAGAAACACTCAATGAGGATATGATGTAGGGCTGGGGAGAGGGCTGTGGGCTGGGGAGAGCCCCGAGGGCCAGGCACAGAGCCTCGTAGGGCTGCATTAGGCCCCCAGGCCTAAGGTTAGAGAGGGTTTTCCCAAACCTGGGTCTTCAGCTGCTTTTGGACTACAGTCTACCAACTCCACCTGGTATGCAGGATGAGACCCTACCTGCCTGCAGACTGTCTCGCCAGAGTGGTGCATGCTCTAGTTATCTCCCACTTGGACTACTGCAATGCGCTCTATGTGGGGCTGCCTTTGAAGGTGACCCAGAAACTACAACTAATCCAGAATACGGCAGCTAGACTGGTGACTGCCAAGACCACATAACACCGGTCTTGAAAGACCTACTTTGGCTCCCGGTACGTTTCCGAGCACAATTCAAAGTGTTGGTCCTGACCTTGAAAGCTCTAAACGGTCTTGGCCCAGTATACCTGAAGGAGCGTCTCCACCCCATCGTTCTGCCCGGACACTGAGGTCCAGCGCCGAGGGCCTTCTGGCGGTTCCCTCATTGTGAGAATCAAAGCTACAGGGAACCCGGCAGAGGGCCTTCTCGGTGGTGGTGCCTGCCCTGTGGAATGCCCTCCCAGCAGATGTCAAGCCAATAAACAACTACCTGACATTCAGAAGACATCTGAAGGCAGCCCTGTTCAGGGAAGTTTTAAATGTGTGACATTTTAGTGTATTTTTGGTCTCTGTGGAAGCTGCACAGAGTGGCTGGGGAGGCCCAGCCAGATGGGCGGGGCACAAATAATATATTATTATTATTATTATTATTATTATTATTATTATTATTGTTATTATTATTATTGGGGCGCGGGTGGCGCTGTGGGTAAAAGCCTCAGCGCCTAGGGCTTGTCGATCGAAAGGTCGGCGGTTCGAATCCCCGCGGCGGGGTGCGCTCCCGTCGTTCGGTCCCAGCGCCTGCCAACCTAGCAGTTCGAAAGCACCCTCGGGTGCAAGTAGATAAATAGGGACCGCTTACTAGCGGGAAGGTAAACGGCGTTTCCGTGTGCTGCGCTGGCTCGCCAGAGCAGCGATGTCACACTGGCCACGTGACCCGGAAGTGTCTCCGGACAGCGCTGGCCCACGGCCTCTTGAGTGAGATGGGTGCACAACCCTAGAGTCTGTCAAGACTGGCCCGTACGGGCAGGGGTACCTTTACAGTTCCCATCACCCCTGACCACTGGTACTGCTAGCTAGGGAAGATGGGAGTTGTAGTCCAAAAACAGTTGGGGACCCAAGTTTGGGGAAACCCTGGGTTAGAGTGTCGGATCAGGGGCTGGAGGGTCCAGGTTCAAATCTCTCCACTCAGCTGTGGTGCTCATGGGTGACCTTGGACCAGTTGCCGCCTCCCTTACCCTGGCCTACATCACAGGGTTGGTGTGAGGAAAAGCGGGGGAAAAGAGGAAAACCATGTGTGTTTCCTTGAAGGAAAGGCAAGATGTGACTGTTAAAAAAAAGAGTTGGGGGAGAGAGACTCAAAGGGATCCTGACACGACGGAGCAGGCAAAAAAGGTGAACGCAGAAGAACAATTTATTTCTGCTTTCTCCATTTAAAAAGCTTCCCTGCTCCATTTCAAGCTAGCTCTTCTGTTTCAAGGGTAAGCCGAAAATGTATTTATATGCATTAATTGCTCCCATCCTCATTATATACATGAGCGCTTAATAATATGCAAGGCCAAGGAGTCTGTAGCATGCAAATACTTTATTAAAAAATGATTACTGCCTTCAGAACGCATTTCCTTTAAGATTTGAGCATCATACTTAGGTTATTCTTACACCCCCTTCGCCCTCTTGCTTCGCAGGGTGGGGGGTTGGGGGATGGGAACCATCAAGCACAATTCGCAGCGAGAAAAGAAAGCGTCACATTTCCCTCCCCAGAATCTCTTGCCCTTTAAGAAGTGCTCTGTTCCTTAGCTGAAAAGCATCGCCGTCCATAATTACCACTCCTTCATCTCTATGCAAAAGCTTCTCCGGCGCTCGGCTCCCGAAAAAGCACAAGCAGCTCAAAATGTCTCGGCTGGTTTTCTAAATATAAAACGAGGTCTCCTACATCTCCGGGAATTTTTAGAAGGTTTGTTTACAGTCCCCACCACCACCGCCACGTTTTCT